TAAAGCATTTGGATTTCAGTTAAATAATGGTTAACAAAATGCTAATAAATTTCAATGAATTTGCTACAGATAGCAAATTAAATCAGTTTACAGCCCCATTATTAATCCTACTTACTCCTCTAAAGAAGCCAAGTGAAATGACAAGGTAGTTAAAAAATAAGCAGAATTAAAGAAATCCCATGGCTTAGCATTTTTGGCTATCAAACAGCATTCAGATAGATTTCAACAGCAAAACCAGAAATTGTAAAGAAAAAGACAGCAGAACTTTAAAAAAACTGTTTTATTAAACTTATAAAACTTACACTCTTGAAAAATGATAACTATATTTAAAATTATTAACTAAAAATTTAAATTTTTATGAATGTGGAAAGTTTCAATATCAAATTAAGGAAGCTAAGGTAGTCTTCTTTTCTTTTCCTGCAAGTTGTAACTCGCAGGAAAAGAAAAAGATAATCATCAAGAAACTATGCTACTTAAAGATGGAATGTATACTGTAAAGAAAGACCTTATTTTATTTTAACCAAATATTTTTAGGTTGACTTTCCTTTCTCTCCTGATTTCAGTTTCCTGCCAGAATATACATTTTAATGACGCAGTATGCAAAATCTAAACGTGTTCAGAAGCATTATTTAAGCTGCAATTTCAAGACTTCGTGAGGAGTAGTAACATAGTTAGTTTTAAGTTTATGCTGCATGTTTGAAATAGTTCTTTATTTGATGTTAGACAACCTCTTCAGATTATGTTGATATTCTAGGCTCGGCTTTGCTCTGTGCAGACAATTTAGCAGTTTAGCTAAATAAGGAGCCAGTCATTTAGCCATCCTAATTTATTGTGATTTTACATTTTCATTTTCTGTACAAATTAGTTAGCCACAAGTGGTGGTGAATTATGAGCACCAAGTGAGTGCATCATTATTACGTTAGTTCAAATAAAAAGGTTATTTAAACCTTCTTCTGTAGTATTTGTTCTTCAAGACATAGCAATAATTCGCTACTTCATCTTCAGTACAGTCTACAATTTACATTTCCAAAAAGACATAGACTCTGCAATACTAATTCTTCTGTCATCTTAATTTAACATTCATATGTCATAATGTGAAATATCATATAATTTTTTTCTTAATTAGAATAAAACAGAAGTGTATATAGTACACATTATTATTAAACATAATCTAATATTTAACATAACTGTAAAATCAATTTCAAAAATAAAACCAGATTAGAAAGTTTCTTGAAACATTTGTATTTTGCACTTACAATAGTTACAACTATTTTAAAAATGATTTACAAGGTCATTTTTAGAAACACTTTTATTTTATTTTTTAAAAATATTTGCCAAAGCGTACTGCATTAAAATCACAACATTACACTTTAAAATAGTAGATAATTACATACATCATTTACTATAATCGTTTTAAAAAGATATTAGAAAAATTATTTTTAAAGCTACAAAATATACATAACATAGCAAAATGTTTATGTATTTTTTAATTCGATTTTTTTTCTCTTTAATATATTATAGCTAATTTTGGTCAACTTCTTCCTATTTAACATCTTTTCTAAATTCATTTGTTTTAATAAGAAATTCAATATTTCTACTAGTCTCTAATTCATCCATTCCCCCTGTTAATATTTTTAACAATATCTCTTTAAAGAACAATTTTCTCTCTCCTTATACAATAAATTTTTTACTGAATAAATTTCCTCTTCATCTTTAAATTTTTAGACAGAATTTTGTTGTTCTAAAAATGGGATGCATTTAAAAATTGCAGAAGAAACTGCTAATTTAATTTCTTTAATAACATCAATTTCGAGAATAACTCCAGAAAATTTTACATTGGCACAAAATGTCCTGAGATAGATAAATATGACAAACAATTTAAATTATTAAATTTGGATATTTTTATTAACAAAGAAGTTCCTTTCTATAGATATCATTTTTTGCACTTTTCTATGCTTGCAGATAGTGAAAAGCATAAAAAAATAAATAAAAGAATAATACGTTAAGATTTCCTAAATAAAAAGAAACATTTCTAGATAAGAAAAAAAGAAAGATTTCTAGGATTAAAAGCAGTATAATTAAAATAACTTTGTTTTTAGTGTTTTCTTAAATACTATAAAAAAAAAAAAAAAAAAAAAAAAAAAAAAAGAGAGAGAGAGAAGAATTTTTTTGTAAAACAAGTCCATTCTGTATTAATACCACGAATGTCACAGGATTTTTAGCCATTAATCATTGGTCTTTAAAGCTTGCTAGAACTTTCCACATTGCAAAGTCTCAAATTTGAAAGAAAAATTAACTCAACAGGCAACCCCTTGTCCTATTTGCCAACTTTATACAAAACAGATTTAAAAAAAAAATCAGAAAATAAAAATTAATATAGTATAGCTGAAATATTTACATGTGGAAAAAACTAAAAAATATTTTAAAAGCACACAAATATGATGTAATGAAATTTAATATGAAATTAAACTGGCAAATATTTAAATCTCAGTGACTGAAGCCAGACAGTTTTAAAATCACATCCTTGATACTGCCAATTAATATTAAGAATTCCCACACAGTACCTTGCGAAATTAAATACAAGATAATATAAATTAAATATAATCAGCGAATACTTAAAATTTCAACAGTGATGCAATTCCACCTATCAAGAAAGGGAACCAAAGTCTCACTTTTTAAGGCAAACCAACTCTATTTTTTATTTCCACCTGTACTTACGCTCTACCTATATTTACTGTGTAAATGAACTCTCTACATGTTCTGCTATCAATCATTCTAGCACTGCACAGATTGGTTCCAGCCGAGAATCCTCCATATCAGGTGGGAGGTAGGTCATTCAGTCAAAGTCCCCATGAGAGATAGGAAGTATGCTATTCATGCTACCATCCCAGGGCTCTCAAGCCCGAGATGGCAGACTTTATAAAGTGATTTTCTCTAACCCACTGTTAAGCTGGGAAACTAGAATCACTACTCCTAGCACTCAGAAAGCACAGTCGTGGGAATAATAGAAACCTGGAGATATGACTGGTCATCAAAATGTTCCTACCAGTACAACATGGGCTAGGATCTATCCCCTGCAGGCCAACCACATCAGACAGAGCTATTACCTCTCTCCTCACCAGAGGTTCCACCCAGCCTCTGGTGGTTCAACTACCTGATGGAGTACAGAGTTATTATTTCTCTCCTCACAGCTTCGAGTCTTCCTTCCCCAATCTCCCCTTGGTCCAACTGTATGAAACGATCTTCCATCAGAGTTCTGGAACAGCTAGGCTCAAAATTATTGCCATAAGCACAAAATCAGCCCACAATTTCTATTTAATCCTATACTCTTCTTTGGAAAACTCTGAGGACATCTCACTAAAATGACCCCATTTTAATAATGGTTCATTTAGAAAATTAAAATTTAGTTCTCACCAATTACTTATTATTTAAGCTCCTCTGCACTGAATGAAACCAAGCAATAAGTTGCCAAGAAGTCTCATAAAAGCATATCTAATTTCCCTGAGAAAAATATCTAAGTTTTTTTTATTAATTCCAGATTAAGAATTTCTCACATCACCTTTTCTGCAAGTGCAAAAACCTGAAACACACAAAAAGAAATAAGGCTAACTCTGCAAAATGTGAAAAATTCTTCACTGGAGCTTTCACTTGTGGTCAGAGTTAAACCATTTCTGTTTAATTGACTCTTCATAAGTAGCAGAAAATGACATCCTCCACTCTTCTGTTTCATTAGAGTGAGCTACTATAAATTCCAGAGCTGGGGACTAAAAGTATTAAATATTTTAATAAATCCATTTCTAGTTTAAATTCCTGATTAATAACTAGTACTATGATTTAAACTCCTGTCTAATTATACTTTATACATGATAAAAATGAAATTAATTTAAAAATAACTATGGTATTTATTTATTTATTTTTTAGTTTTGTTAAAATTAATTCGAAAACTGTATAATCATTTTTATTTTTTCAAATCAAAATATTTATATTACTAAAATGAAAAGTAAAGACACTTTAAAATCTGACAAGGAAAATTATAAATGCTTTATTTTAATGCTATTAAAAAATGTAATTTGAAGGATACTTTACCAATATTATATATGTAGGACAAAAAAGCATAAAGTTCTTAAAAATTTTGTAGATAAATTTATCTTAAATGTTGATGAGTTTACAAATTTAGTGATGCAAGGGGGGGGAGAATTCATATTCTAAAAAGGGAAAAGTTATTTGATATATCAAAAAGGAATTATTTTAAACAAAAACAATGTCTATCAAGAGATACCTGAATGAATCCCCATATTGGCACTTTTTCATAAAAAAATTATTTTATTTGTAAGATATTAAAGCTAGGAACAGGTTTCATAAAGATATGAAATATTCATAAAAATTGACTGATAGGAATTTTTCCTAGGGTCATTAGAGCTAGAGCGGTTAAAAACCCCTGCATGTGCCCCTTGCCTAAATTTAGATTGTTCTAATAACTAGCAAACATTGTCAAAATATCAACTGCATGATTTCATAAAAAATATTAATTCACTCTCCATGGCAGTCTGGGGGGGGGGAAAAAAGACATGTCAAATAAACAAAATTAAGGAATTTTGGCAGACATTAATGACTTTAAGGACCAAAAATTACAGAAAACTTAACGACTTTAAAGAGCCATGCAAAAGCCTGTTAAAGACTGCAGAGTGAATAATTAAGAGGATTAGAGTATATTCATAACCCTTGTTTCTACTCTAAATATGTATATAGCTTACCTCACAAATATGTTACCTTCTTTCTTGCATTTTCAATCTTAACAGGAAAATATCTTATACTGAAGGTGATACAATTTACAATTAGAAATGTGAAACTTGCTCTTGGTGCAAAGACATGCACATTTGGTTATCCCTCAAATATGCTTCAAATTTTTCACTTGAAATTCAGATTAAAATATCCTGATGAGAAATTCTCTCCTTAAACTGACATGTTTCTCTCACAACAAAAATTTAACAGGCAAGCTATGTCAGCACCATAGGTCTGTTGTACACAGAACTTAATTTACAATACATAAACTTAAAGAAGAAGAGCAGGTTGTCATACTGCCCACTGTATGCTTGATTAGGCCACACGAGATTGTGTAGTTCAACAAGAAAGTAGTAGACGGCTTCAACAGTGGCCAGGTGAGTGTCTGGACAACCTTTCTGTGGGCGCCAAAACAGAGACTGGTGTGATGTCAGCAAAACACAAGGAAGACCTGCAATGTCAAATATAATTTTTAAAATGCCTTAGGAATCCTAAAAGCAAAAAAAAATATAAAATGCATGTATTTACTGAACTACTGATTTAAATATATGATAGATAAATTACATATATGTAATAGATTTGGAGACAGCTGTAGGAGGAATATGTAAGATATATAAAACAAACTTCTGATTTTAACTAGGCAATAGCACCTTTCATCCTTCATTTTAATTTGGGTATTTCCCCTTTCTGCTTTAAAAATAGTAACTATTTATAACATATCAATCTGAACTGTGTCATTTCAAAATTAATCTCCATCGTAAGATCTAATATAATGCAGAAACCTTTTGGCCAATCCTTGAATAAGATTTCGAATGAGAACTAATGAGTTCTGAACTTAATGATTCAAATCATTAAGTTTGTACTTAATGAATTGATAATAAAGAACTTAATGATTCAAATGAGAACTTTTTAACACTCTCCTGCATTTCTTCTGAATATGTCATCACTTCCTCACTTGTTTGGCTACTGCTAACATACTGAGGCTAATTTCTTTCTATCTTCCATTCTAGGTCTTATGATGTAAGCTTCCAAAAATTGTGGGGTGCATACTGAGTCCATAATGATGTGTGAATCAGATTATGCATTTAAAGAATTGTTTTATTTGGTAGTAAATTATGTTCAATCTACAGGTATGTTTGTATGCAAGTTTCAGCAAGTTCTTCTTTGTTATGCATCTAACAAAGAAATTCAACTATTTTCCAAGTTATTACAATGAGTCATCATTCACGAGTCATTTATAGTTACACAATAAACTAGTTCAAATCTATTGCATATATATATACACACATATAAATTTAATTATTAATTTTTTATTTATGATTATCTCCCAGGAAAGGATATATAAAACTACTGCAAACTAAAATTAGGAAATGCTGATATTTAAAAGAACTGTTTCAACTATTAAAAAGTTATAAAAAATTCAAAATCAAAATTTGTAATAGTATGCATTAAAATTATATGGTTAAAAAAAAAGAAAAAGAATAGTACAGGCATAAAAATAAGGCAGAACAGTACATACAGATAAAAGCAAGTAAATTATTGCCTATTTCCCAGAAGAGGGTTGACTTTAAGGGGAATTAAACCTACTGAAAAAAAAATAATAAATAAAATCTGCAATAATTTGGATATGACTGTGTTTCGTCTCCTTTTGATGTTCGAATTAATTCTTTTAATTGCGAAAAACTAATATATAAAATTTGTATTTAAATGAATAATTAAGTTTTCAAACGTGAAGGTAATTCTCGGATGCAATCAAAATACTAATTATTCTGCTAAACATGTATAATTTAGCTTGCCATGGCTAATTCCCTACTATTAAATGAAGAAATATATTTTAACACATCATATTAAACATTAATGTCTAAAATTGTGAAAATGTTTTGGGGAAAGGATATTTTTTAGGTGTAATGGCTCAACATATCGCTTGTTTTTTGTTCAATATCATAAAATTATACATTAATGAAGGAATAATTTAATGAAGAATGTAATGTGACAAAATTCATATATTTTGGACAGTGGAATATGATTATATTGAAACCACCTTTTCCACACAACAGCAAAATTACATGCAGCTCAATACTCTTTTTGGTTCAAGTATTTGATTTATGCATTCTGAAGCATTTATATTCCAACTAACCACACAAATTCTACTCAAACATTTTTGGTGTTATACAGGGTGTATCAGTACAGTGTTTACAAAGTTTCAGAGTATACCTAGATGATCAGAAATCACACAGGAGTACATGGTTGGAAACGCTTTCCTGGCCCGGTAGTGATGACACAAAAGTCGAGAAAGAAAGGACATGAACGGGGTGAGAAAACATGTTTATTATTCGAAGTATAACAAAAAGAAAGAAAAAACAACATAAAAAGACAACAATCATCATAAAAAAAAAACGTGTTCGAAATTATAACCAGGACCATGATGCAGGAACATATGTTATGCATCTTCCATCTTTCAGTGACTGCATCACGGTCCACGGTTGTTATTTCGAACACCTTCTTGTTGATCATTGCTTGTTTTTGTTCTTATTTGTAGGTTTCTGCTGTACTAAACATAATAAAATATTTTTTGTCTCATTGTTTGTGTCTTTCCTTTATTGCTCTTTGAATCGTCACTACCGTGCCAGGAAAGAGTTTCCTATGTAATTTCCCATCGTCTAAGTGTACTCTATCTCTCCTGAAAGTTTGTCAACCCTGTATCACCCCAGATCATAACACTAATATGGGATTTCATAGCAAGTGTAACGCAGCCACAATGCCAATCTTCTCCAGTTTTTCCCCTATGTACTTAATGCCATCACTACCAAACATCGAGATTTTGGTCTCCATGGTTGTAAATAATGATGCCCCATACTTTCACTGTAAACATGGGTCTTAACCCAGTTTAATCGTTTTATCATTTATCTGAGACAAAATAAAAAAAGGCTTTTTTTATGGAGTTCTGGCATTTACACTAAATTTCTACAGTCAGTACAGAACAGTTTTTGCATGAAGCTTCTCACTGGATAGTGCCATTTCTTCTTGTATGCTCTGGTGATTTTCATCTATCAACTTGAAACAGTCTCTTAAGTCTATCATCACTTAGTGTTGCATACCTTTTTCTACCTTTATCAGTCTGGTTTTGTATGGACTGACTTTCCTTATAGCTGTTCAGAAATTCAGAAATGCTACTTTTGATTATATTTTCACTAATACTTCTAATTTCTTCACAACTGAAGTCTTGTTCATTTAATAGTACTATTTTATATCATTTTTTAGAATATCAGGCAACCTTTTACATTATTTCTTTAATTTTAATATGTTTTAAAAGCTTAAAAAAATTGCATGAATAATAAAAAGTAAATTACCATTCAAAATTTTAAAAACAGAAACATTTATAGCCATGCATGTTAACATAATTCAGAAACTGTAGTTGCATGATACATAAATTAAACACCATCCAAAGGATTTAAAATGTACCACACAATTTACAATTTGGAAATTTAATGCAACCAACCTTGACAGAATTTGTTAATACAACAAAAATTAGCTAATGTGTTAACAATCTCTTTAATAATATGTTGACAAAAGTCTTCCTTTGCACACCAAAACATTAGCATCATTTGTTGAATACTACTGTGAACTGACTGGCCCTCAGTGAAAATAATGCAATACCTGATTGCTCTGTAAACATACATACTCTCTGGCTACATTCAAATTAAAGAACACTATTTCACGTGAATCTAAAAAAGTTATACTTCTTTTTTTAATGATTACCCAGTTATAACTTTTGACACAATACAAATAATTAAACTAAAACTTTATGCATATTCTTGATTAAATTATTTTCCCATTAATAATTTCCCATTCACAGTATTACTCCAAAATAGAGTGGCTAGTTTTTGTTGTGAATCATCAAACCTCAGAAATAAACAATTTCCAATAGTAAACATGCTTAAAAAAAAAAAAAGAGAGAGAGAGAGAGAGAGAGCAACTCTTGTGACATGAAGCTCTAGAATTATCTTTGAGGTAAAATATTCTGTTTCAGCCACCAGAGCTCTCTGCCTGTCTGTGAGATATTATTTCACAATGCGCAGATTGTATGCGTATCTCGCATTTTGTTTCTTGCATTCTTAAACCGCTAATTGTAACTATGTCGCTTTACTTTGTGCTGTGTTGTGTTCGAAAGTTCAAACCGCCGAATAAAGGTTAATTTTACAGTCCACTCGCAGTGATGTATTCTTAGGTTTATTAATTTAAAGTTAAGATACCGCTTCGCTACATTATTTGGTCGTCCTACGCCGGAGCTTTGAGAAAAACTTGCGCTTGTGAATAAGAATTCTACGTGTCCGTAATGGTGGTGATAATGCAATTTTGGTTTAGAATTCTCAAGAGTTACGAAATGGATACAGTGTACGAGGTGAGTGAAATAGCTAACGCATTTTAATTGCATTTGAGATTTCCTTATTGCTACTATTTTTGTGCTTAAAGTATTAGTAAAATCGAGAATTTAGAATATTTTCAAAATGTCAGATATCGAAAAAAAGCGAAAGAAAATTTTGAAAACGCAGTTAACGAAATTTATCGAGAGAATAGATTATGATAGCTTAGATAATGCTGAAGCTGAATTAATCTTAGAAAAGTGTAAAATCTTTAAGGAAAGATTTTGAAATCTCTATTTAGAGAAAATTTATACATGATATGTGATGACGATAAAATAGAACACTTTCGCTTGAGGAAGAACAGTCGATTTTAGAGAAAATTGAGGAGGTTCACTTAAAAATTATTCGTAAGTTAAAGAACGACAAGGTTGTAAATGCAAATGGTCGTAAATGCAAATGGCGACAAACCTGTCGTACCAGAATCAATCTCTGAAAGTTTAAAGTTACCTAAAATTATCTTTATCCCACATTTAGCGGAAAATTTAACATGAATGGATAACATTTTTAAAGATTTATTTAACGCTAGTGTTCGCAACAATCCAAATCTTTCTGGAGCTCAAAAATTACAATATTTAAAGAGTTCTTTGAAAATGATGCTTATTGCATTATTCAGTCAATTCCCATAGCTGATCAAAATTTTCAGTATTGCTTGGAATTTACTAGAAGAGAGATTTTCTAATAAGAGAGAACAGATATTTGCTTTTATTAAAAGAATTCTTAACGTTTCACAAATACAAACGGAATCTGCATCCTCGATAGTTAAATTTAGTAGATAATGTAAACGAAATAGCTCGTTCATTGGAAATATTAGATCAAAGGATAGATAATTTTAGTGATACTCTGTTGATTGTATATTATTTTGCAAAAACTTGACGTTTCGACAAAGTTGTGGTGGGAGCGTTAATTAAAAAAAGACAAAATACCAAAGTTGAATGACTTGATAGAATTTTTGTAAGAATTACGCTAGAACGTTACAGAACAGTTAAACCTTTAATTAGTAAACGGATAAATCAGATAAACCAATGTA